CTCTGCTAGACTGTAGTAAACCAGCGCCTTGTTAAACATCTTTCATTTCAGTTCAGCTTTTTGCTTCCTGTTTGCGAGCCAAGTGTTGTGTTTTGTTTTTCCAAGTCAGCTGACACTCTGCAAATGCATTGCCTTCCAGTGAAGCTCATTATAAAGTAAAATATAATGCATCTGCAGTGGAGGAAGGGCAAAGGAGCTTAGAAGGATCGTGTGCACCATGCCTCACACAGACACAAGGCTGCAAGGATGAATGTTATAACCTCAGTCACCTCCATAAACCCTGGAAACAGACTTCTGTAAATCCCCAGACAAACCTCTTTTGTGAAATGAAAGCATCCAAATGCTTTGCTGATCTGCACAAACACCACCCCCTGTCCCCCACTCACCCTTATGGGCTCCCTCTCGGGGGAACCGCTTTGGCACCCACGCTATTGCACCTGGGTTACACAGGATGTGTTTTTAAGTGGATCCAATGGAGCTGAGGGGGTTGCACAGTCTACTGTTTTTGTTACAGATACTGCTTTCATCAAGCACATTTTTCTGTCCATCTTCGGCTGCACGTGTGTCGCTGCACATAAACACATGTACGTCGCCGCATATGCTTTCCAGGCACGGCAGCGTAAGACTTTGCAGTGCTATCTGGAACACTATCGGCTATTGTTTTCCTCCACAGTGAGAATAACTGGCTGGACCGCTAGGCAAACATTTGACTGTTGTTCTGGGAATTACACTGGGGTCCTTTGGGATCCCAGTTGTCATTGAAGAAAATAGCACAATTCATACGGACTTTAACGAGACCAGGAAGGTTTGGGGCAGTACAGGTCAGGTAAAGTATGGATGATATAGGTCAAACCTACACATCCTCACAGGCTCCCCTTTTCAACATGTGGTCCTTACCGAATAGTGGAAACCCCTCAGTGCAGGCAGCTAGGGCATTGGACACAGCCCATCCGGTCCCAAGCAATCCCGGCTATGACCTTCTCTCTTTGAGAGCATGCTTTCCTGTGTTCTTTTCACCTGAGATCAATAGCTTCTGTGTAAAAGAGCCAATTTAAAGAGACTCAAGTTCACAAGAGACCCTGGCTCTCCATGCTGGTTGTAATGTCTCAGTGTGACTCTCTCCAACACTAGCCAAGCAGGGAGGAGTGAGAATAATTGCAAGAGTGAGGAACTCCTAGGGCTCAACATACCAGGGATATCAAGCTTCTGTCTGAAAATGCAATAATGCTGTTGACTCATTCCTCCAGGCCCTGACATATAAATTAGATAACAAACCTGACCTATGACTGTTTCCCTGTTTCCCCAAGAAATTGGCTGGAGCATGACAAATATGCCTTTCAACATACCTCTGCTGTTCATGAGAGAGCAATGGGAATAGCATAAAGGCTTATGAATACCTTATGGAAAATAAGCCTCCACTTAAAGCAGAAAACCCCTACCATCAAGAAATTCTTGGAAGTCCATTTGAGCCTTTAGGAGGAGCCATGGATGTGCGTCAGAGACAAGACCTTAGTCCCAGATATCTGGCTGCCCCACCTATTAATGTAAATGCACGTTACCCATATAGTCATTAATGGAATTTATGTTCTCCTCCTCTTTCCAAAGAAAAGGACTTAGGGTTGTTCCTTTGTTTTAAGGCAGGTTTCAGTTTTGCAAACATCAGAAATTGGCTGACAATGGCATGAGATGTCCTGCCAATGCCTGGGCTCCTTGAGGAGACTGTAACATGGATTCCACATGGGACGTCCATGTAGCAATGCCATGAGATCCCCTGTTGAGCTAAGGTTATGTTAGAGAAAGCAAAATAGCAGGGCAGTTTGATGGCACTGATAGTGATGGTTTTCCATTAGGGCTGTGCAAAGTTTTGGTCGCTGATTTGATTTGGCGGAGATTCGGCCTGGCCGAATCTCCAAATCAAATCAGAGGACCCTTTAATCTCTCCAAATTGAATTGGAACCCTCCAAATTGATTCAGAGAGATTTGGGAAGATTTGGCGTTTCAGACATAGCCACGGCTTTAAATGTTTTTTCTACATACCTGTAGGTAGCAGGTGGCTTGTGAATGCTGCAATGCTGGGGCATATGGAGCGTCCCACAGAAGTGCGGGGGCTCCCCAGTATGCTCAGCAGCAGGCCTGGAAGTGGGTCAGAAGCACTTTCAGTCCACTTCCAGGTTCACCCCTGATCATCCAGCCCCCTTCCCCACCCCCACACTCCTGTGGGATGCTCCATCCATCCCAGCATCCACCAGCTGTGCTTGGTACCTCGAGGTATATAGAAAAAACATTTAAAGCTGTGCCTACGGTCAAATCGCTGATTCTCTGAATCAGCATCGAATCTTCAGATTCGGATTTGGCTGAATTGAATTGGGGACAGTCATCCGAATCAACAGATTAAATCACTGTCCCTGATTCAGGCCAAATCCAAATTTGAATCAAATAGGGCCCATTTTGCACACCCCTATTTTCCATGCATAATAAAAGTAGTCCATTGCTTGTCATAGTTAGGTATATCTACTTGTTGATACATCTCAGAGCAGCTCATCACAAACTTTCTATAGATGTCCCTGATTCACTGCTCAAGATTTGTGACTCATTACTAGCTGGTGAGGGGAGAAGGAGAGTTTCAAGAGCTAATTTGTTTAAAATATCTGTAAACCATTTCAAAAGGCATAAAGTGTACACTTGCATTCTGTGGTCTAAGCTAAAATACTTCCCTAGGCCTGTGCAAACTTTAAGGTTGTGCAGAATTAAACAGGCTCAGTTCTCCACTGCGTCGCAGTTGGGGTAAGCAGCTGTGCTAGTGAAAAGTGGAAAGCACAGTTTGCAGCTTGGTGAATCTCACCCATCCTATACCTCTGAGATGATCCAGACCTCAGGAAAGGTGGTGAAAAATCCATCGTTACGTTGCCTGGCTGGTTTAGGTTGGGTGTGAATTTCAAAAGGTGTGGGGCTAGCAGAAGTCTACAGCATACTTCTATTTAGTTGCCTTGTCAATGCTAGTTCAAGCAGATGGTGTATGCTAGGAGAACCATGCTGAAGTGCAAAGTGCTAAGCTGGAATAGAGGAGCCCTTAGTGGTGAGGGCATCTAATGTCATTGTCCAGGATGGCCCATCTGCTGATGTCTGCCTGTGGCAGATATAGCTTACACGCTTATCATGTCCTTTCTGGATCAGGTTCTTGCCTGCCATGTAGCCCTTGAAAATAGCCACGTCCAAGTGAGTTGTGTACCCTGGGGCAAGCACCCTCTCAGACACATGTGCTTACGCTAATGGAAATATTGGAGAGGCGGCAAAGCACTGAAGATATTGGCCAGTGTGAGGATGCCCCGCAGCATCCAGGCTGTGGCTGGCAGGCGTGGGGAAGGATCTTGCAGCCGAACATGAGGCTGACTACAGCTTTCAGCAACATTTTACCTCACTATGGCATGAGAAAGCATTTTCTCCCAACAGCTGTCTCCTTAGGGACTACTCCTGCATGTTCATACACAGACCCACCTCATCCTCCCGTGCTCCCCCACGGTGGGTGATGCAGTCTGTTCAGGGATTGCAGATCTGCAGAGACAAGAAAATGAACGGCCGGTGTGGCTGCAGAGTGCAAAGCAGCTCTCGCCTGCACTCGTGGACTGATTATGTAAAAGTGTCCGAGGATCCAGAGTATGTCAGGGAGTCGCTTACACTACCCACGGTGCTCGGTCTTCCCCAGCCAACCCAAAATCAACCCCGGTGTCTCCCCACCGCCCTGATTCTTCAAGGCGCACAGGTACCTTGCTGGCGCCACTTGAAACCGAGAGGTCCAACCTGAATTTAACAAGGGTGACCAACTTGGAAATCACCCTAGTCGTCTTAGTCGTGTGATGTGAGTAAAACCATTACACTAAGCAGCTCCATTTCCTTCTCTCACACCAAGAACAGAAACATTTCTGTTAGGCGTCTGCTTCTACTGGGAAATGTGACCTGCAATTTAAAAATGGCTTTGATGGCTAGCAAAATAAAGGATGCCTGACTTTTGCCTTGCACCCTTTTGGGAGGCATCTTTGCCCCTAGCTCTCCACCCACGTCTATGCAGTCAGATGGGAAGGAGTTGGGAGGGATGGCTGGTGTAAGGAATATTAGTTTGGGCCACCTATATGGTACAGACCTATTCGGTACTCAGCGCCCTGTCGCATTGGCGTCTGGGTGACCAATGCAGCAGGTTTCTTTGCGGCGATGGTGGTGGGTATGTCCCTTTGGACCAAACGGCATGGGGACAGAAGAGGCACAGCAGGTTCAATGAGAGCAAAACCCATGTTCTTTCAGACGCTTGGAGGATTTGGGTATTCAGGGCTGTTTGATTTACCAGCTCGGAGAGGCACTGTGATGCCCTCCAAGCAGATCAGAGCCGAAGCAATCCCACCATGAAATAAAGCCATTTCCAGGCACTCGGCGTAATAACAGCATCCGACCGTTTCCTTTTCTCTTCTAAGGGGCTGGGTTGTTGGCTCATTATGTTACTGGAACATGAAGGCTGCACGGCTGACAAGGAGAGGAAACTCTGGCTCAGCACTTTCCAGCCCCCAGCCCCCACTCGGCTTTTCCCCTCCATCCCCAGCCTTTGCTGCAGAACATCGGCTGCTGCCTAGCAACGGCACCGTGGGCGATGTCACAAGGACTCAGACGACTGTGAAAGGGGAATGAACAACGCTTCCTGGATTTGTCTAGTGCTGCAGCTGTGGGAGGCTCATTGGCCTACCAGCATCTGTCAGAGATATTTTCAGAAACCAGGCTAATACAAAAGACTCCGACTGCAATATTAATGATAATCTCCATGCTTCTGATCTGTTAGACTCTCTCTCTCTGTAGCCAATAGTCAGGGCCTTGCTAGCTGCTGCAATTTCAATGCCCAATGCCGAGACCAAAACAAAACCTCTGGTATTGTTAGCCATTTTAGGACTATATATATATACATATATATATATATATGTGTGTATATATATATATATACACACACACACACACACACATATATATATACACACATACAAACACACACACACACACACACACACACATATTATCCAGGTTATCATTAAACATCTTATATAATGATAAGGATTGCATCACACCCATCTGCACCTCGCTGAGCACAAGGGGCTGTGGTTCTGTAAACTCAGAGTAAAAAGTAGATAAGATCCCCCAACTGGGTGAAAAGACCCCACACACATATATACCATATACGTACCACACATACCACACACCACACATACCCCACACACACCACACATATCAATCACATACACCACACAGTCC